GCTCGGGATGGTGACGCAGCAGGTATTGCCCCTGGTGTACCAGCACGGATCTCTTGAAGCTGAAACTCCCAAAGGGTCCAAGTATTGTATGGTACATACTTCGACCCCCAAAATACCCTATAAGTTTATACCATAATGATACTGCTGGTGGACAAAATCCTGCATGACCCTAAGGACTCTAAACTATGGGAACTATGGTATATTCCCTATAAAGGGTAATGCAGGATTTTGTCCATCAGCAGTAATGATACTTGGACCCTTTGGGACTACCTCGCCATCCCTACAGCTTGCCCATGTGGACCTCCTCCAAGTGTTCATCCTCGTGGGTGGTTGTCGAAATCATGGTACCTTTTTGCTCCTTAAAGGGATCCTTAAGGGGTTCCTTAAAGGGATCTATCAGGGTCTAGGGTTTAGGGTCTACTTGGAGGGTCGGGGGACTTATTAAGGAGTTATTTTGTAGAGTTATAAGTACCATAACCCCAATTAAGATCCCTTTTAGGGTACTTATAACTCTACTTATTGTCTACTTACGAAGTCCCCCGACCCTCCCAGTATCATAATACGGCACCGAATATTTAGGGTACCCAGCAAGGGACCTTAATTTTGACAACTACCCTCGTGTATTTTGAAGACCTCTTGGGCTGTCGCAGATACTCCCCATGTGTTTGTCCACGAGTTTAGCCGAGAGATGCCAAGGCTTCTTTAGGGGTTCAGGGTTTAGGGTCCTACTCCGGGCCTACGTTCTATCCTTGAAGTGTAGGTTTCCGAAAATAGGGGACCCTAACATAACACCCTAAACAGTCGGATCCTTGCTATAAGGACCCAGTAATAAGGTACCCCCCTGTTTTCGGAAACTCCCAAGTGCAGGAGGCTGAAAACACAGCAAGGATCTCGATTGAGTAGTCGAGTAAGCAACCTGTAACCCTTTGCGTCATTTGGGGTTAAAGGGTTTGGGGATCCCTATATTAAATCCCAAAGGTTAACCTTGAACCCGTAGGAGAAGTAGGAGGGTCTTTAAAACACCACATGCACCACCTGGACTCCCCGATTCGAACCACAACTTCTCCTCTATGGTTGAAGGACTGTGGCCATAGTCGCAAGTAGAGTCGCAAGTGTGCCAAAAATTCACAGACTATACCTGGACTCTATGAAACCTACTTTTTCTAGCTTTTCAGGTTTCTTCACCAAGGAGCCAATATGAGTCCTTGAGAGGTAGGTTTCCAGGGTCCAGGTAATTAATGATTTTACTGGTTCTTGCTTTTCGCTTCTTGTGCCCTCCACCCAACCTGAAGCCCTGAAACCCTGTAGAACTTCAATTCCGCTGACCCCAAGTCCCAAACCCCCGGCCTGCCCCGAGACTTTAAGCCCTACAAAGCTGAACCTCAGAACCCGAAACCCTGATAAAGTAGTGCTGCTTGAAAGCTGCAAAAACTGAACCACCAGAAGTACACCCGATTGCAGACGCTTCCGCTGCTGGATGCGGTCAGCGCAGATGCTGCGGCAGCAGCAACGAAGCGCATGGCCCTGGACAAGGCAAGGACGACCCTGCAGATTCACGGCGCGGTCCGACCACAAGGGCTTCCTGTTTTGCGTTAACCTATCGTCTCCTTGGGAATTTTCTTGCATTGTTGTTCATATAGAACCCAAGAGAACATTTAAACAAGTATTCCTATTATGGTTCTAAGGTTATTATTCCTATTATGGTTCTAAGGTCATTCCTATTATGGTTAAGAGGTTATTTCTATTATGGTTCTGAGGTTGGTATAGTAACCTCCCAGACCAGTCAGTGAGACTGACAGCCAAAACAAAGCACACCTCTCTACCCTGCTCATAGTGCTAACGGGCTGCGGCCCTAGACCGATCCCCAGCAGCACCGAAACCCAAGAGAGCGTACCTGCAGCAGGAGACTATAGGAATCTATTTGTAGTTGGGGAGGGGGGGGGGGCGGTACCATAATTATATATGTAAGATATATAAGTGTGCACGTATGTATATCATTATATGTATATATACATATATAGAGAGAGACAGAGAGAAAGAGAGAGAGAGAGAGAGAAGAAAACGGTACAGAGAAAGCGCGAGAAATAGACAGAGAACATTTAGAGGACGAGACAGAAAGAGAGAACAAAGGAAGGCAACAAAAGATGAAGAGAGAGAGAGAGAGAGAGAAAGAGAGAGAGAGAGAGAGAGAGAGAGAGAGAGAGAGAGAGAGAGAGAGAGAGAGAGGATTGTGATTTAACAAGACCGCCAATGGAAGAAGAGAGGGAGCGGGAGAGAGACAGAGTGAGAGAGAGAGAGAGAGAGAGAAACAGGGAGCGAGAGCGAGAGCGAGCACGTTTTTTTGCATCAGGTTTGTGCCTCCGCCTGTACTATCTACCCGTGGTTCCTTCTTGGATCTTGTCCAAAGTCTGGCAGTCTGGCAAATCTGGAACCAAGACAACCCCCCTGGACGGCTGTTACGGATCGTTTTGATAGTATCGAATGCATGTTGCTTGCAATTACGTTCTATCATATTATCCTATTGTAGTAAGAGCCAGAAAGTTGGAACACGAGCATCTTCGTGCCCTTAAGGTAGAGTATAAGAGATCCTAGCACTAGTCCTCCTAACCCCATGGTCCAACTTTCTGGGATTCGCACAAGAGCCCTATAAAAGACCAGTACTGTATGGGGGCACATGTTCAAGGTCCGACGGGCCCTCTGTAGCAGTTGCTTATTGGCCTCTTCCGAGGATCAGTGGACTTTGGCAAGTAGATCGAAACTAGAGTGATGCGTGCTGTGATTCGGAGTTAAGGTTCAGGGGTTTAGGAATTAGGGATGCGTGCTTAGATTCGGAGTTATCCAGGAAGCCCTGTAATGGCATGCCATGGTCTTAAGCATTCCTGGCGGGCAGAAATGCCGCAGGTGCGTCCCATCGGCGCTGGCATCCTTCTGAATGGTCAGGCCAACGACCGTTGAAATGAGGTCCAGCCGATAACAAAAACAGTCTCGATATACCGCAAAGCCCTAAACCCTAGACCCTATAAACCCTAAGCATTCCCCACAGCCCTTTGGAAAGCTTAAGGACACCCTGCATGGGTAGTTTCAATTGGGTTTTATGAGCTTTAACTATGGTTGGAAGTACATACATCATACAACTATTGCTCGTGTGCTTACCCCAAGGCTCACAACCCCGAAGCCTGGACCCTAAAACCCAATGCAATGCAGGCCCGATGACATTCAAAGCCTCACAGCCTACTTGGAGGATCATGGGACTTAGTAAGTAAGGATATAAGTACTTCAATTGGGGTTATAAGCACTTGTAAGTATGGTTACCTGATTCATAACCCCAGTTACTAAGTCTCATGATCCTAGAAGTAAACCCTCAGCCATTGTTCCGAAATCCCAAGCCTTGTACTATGACAAGCCTCACCAACCCTATGAACCCTCCAAGCCCTAACAAACCCAAACCCCTAAACCCCTAAACCCCTAAACCCCTAAACCCCTGAACCCCAAGCCATTGAACCCTAAACCGAAACCCCCTAATTAAACCTTAAACCCAAACCCTCAAACCCCAAACCCCTAAACCCCTAAACCCCAAACCCTTAAACCCAAAGCCTACACAGCCCGCAGGCGACGATGGTTGCTACTCAGAACAACATAGCAGCCTTCGCTCTCGGATCGTTGGGGCCTTGGTCGCGGCGTTTGCCCTAACGGTCCAGGTATCTCCTTAGGAGGGTCCGGGGTCTCAGAAGCCCTCAGTTTTGAGGTTTCCCAAAGTGTTAGGACCCTTAGGGTAGGGTTTAGGGTTTGGGGTGTTAGGGTTTAGGTTGGGGGTGTGGCTTTATAGGGTTTTGTAGGGGCTTTAAGGCTAGGGCGTAAAGGCCTCGAAAGCTTTTATGAGGGTTTCACAAGGCTTTCGGTTGCTTTTGTCGTGTTGTTACTCAGCTTAGGGGTTAAGGTTTGGGGTTTAGGGTTCACGCAGCTGGACTTCCGAGCCTGAAGCGGCACACTTCGCTTGGACCGATGTCAGCACGGTTTAGGGTTTACCTGCCCTAAGGAACCTACCTCTTTTTGGTTCCCTAACATGATTTCTTTTTATAAACCATAAATTTGGGGTCCAGGTAGGGTTTAGGGTTCCGGAGGTGGGCTTAGCGCTCAAACCCTCAACCACCAGCACAGCACCCCAAAGAAGCGTCACAGGGTCCGATATCGGATCATCCGCACCCTGGCTCCCAAGCAATCTCGACCCTCGGCGTCCCCTTCAGCTGAGAGGGAAATCTGGTGAGCTGCTGGAGGAACTGTTAATGATATAAATCCTGCATGACCCATAATAAGAATATGCCATAATTCCCATAGTTTAGGCTTCTTAAGGTAATGCAGGATTTATATTATCAGCAGAAGAAGCGAGGGTACGTCTAGAAGAAGGATCTCCAGGCCTCCCCCCGGCATGAAATCATGGGTGTAACCCCAAGGGTCCAAAGGACCCAATAATCAGGTACTCGGTTTTGGGATAGTAATTAGTTATGTACGTTAGGACTTCGGGGAGTTTATGATTATTGGGTATTTGGACCCTTGGGGTAATTGAGCCTGACAGATGCTAGATCTAAGACTTCAGCATTCAGCACAAAGAGCTTGGCACTCAATCTCCGTCCCCAAGCCTCAACTTTAAAAACCGCGAAGCCCTAAACCTTAAACCTCGAAGCCTTAAGCCCATCAACCCTGAAACCCCAACATCCACAAAACTCAAGCTTGACAAGCCTCTTCCCAGAGCCCTTGCCCCCGACCCCAATCTAAGGAGCCTACACCCAGTGGTAGGGCTGAACAGTCAAACAATAGATGGCAGTTTCCGAAAATTAGGGGTATCGTATTTTGGGGCCCTTATAATAAGGATCCTACTATTTAGGGTGCTCTATTAGGGTCCCCTATTTTCGGAAACTCCCAGATGAAAGCTTGTCTGCCGGTCTGCTGCAGCTGTTTTAGCTCATTCAAAGCCCTCTTGTTCTGCTGCCAAGTCCATCGCTATGTCGCCGGCGTGGCGCATCCTCGTGTGTTTCCTGGTTCCTGTACTCCTCTGTGCCCTGCGTCAGGCACAAGACGTTGAGCATGGAAGCGCAGTCTTGCAGTCACAGGTGTCGGGCGACCGGTCAACATGGACTCAGTGCTGCGTCACAAAGGACACTGGGAACATCGCAATGAAAAGCCGCACTTTCCATAAAGAGGCGTTGGAGATTCTCGGCAACATTACTTACTCCGGTGCTTACGGCTGGAAAGATACATTCCACATGCGGCCTTACAATGGTTACAAGGAGCATTGCAAAGCTCTGCAACTCTATCCTTGTCCGAAGGTGCAAGACACTCTGTTCGATCTGTATGGAAACGACGATCTTCATGGATACCGCAGTTACGCCAAAGTGATCGAGATGAGCAACACCTTCCTCTCGAAGTACCATTTTACGACGGAGGAGTATTGGTTGCGTGCGCCAGCATGTCCTGATGGCATGGAATCAGCCACAGATGCCGACCGATGCACACAGGAGCTAGAGTCTTTCCTACAGTTCTTGCACACGTGGAAGATTTCTATGGAACGGAGCCTGCAAAGGTAGACGTCGCCTCGCGGAAACAAAGGCTGGCGGGACTATTGCAGCAGCGTTCATCGTCAATCCAGACAATAGAATTCTTTCAAGTATTGACCCAAAGGGTCCTAGATGCTGGTACGGAGAAAACTTCCCAAAATCATAAAAGTAATTCCTGATTTAGAAACCCTAAATTTCTACCATATAGCTACTTTGGACCCTGTGGGCTACAGGAGTACTACCCTTAACCGGCTTACCTAAGCCTTCGGTCTATTGGACCGTTACGATTAAACCCTAAACCGGACAACTCTACACCCGAAACATCGAAAACAGTCGCCCTACGAAGCCTTTACTGCATGGAATTCTGTTTGAAGAAATCCTTTCATCCTCTTGAAGCGTGCGAGTCAAATGCAACGTTTTTTGATGACGGTTCTTGTCCCCGTATCAAAGCCGTATAAACCTTAAACCCTAAGCCTTTTTGCGAACCTGAAACCCTATACACCGCAACTGCTACATCCTGAACTGCAGCCCTACGCCGTAATAAAGGGGCCTTAATAATTACCTATACTATTTCGGGGCTCCTTCTTATGATTATAGTATAATATCCTCCCCCCAAAAAAATATTCCAATCATTAAGGCGCCTTTCTTATAGAACCGTACTTTAGTTCCCGTCTAGATACGTTTAAGTAACCCGTTAAAGGAACTCTGTTCTAATCAGTCGGGCGCCTATATGCTATCCCAGGCCCTTTCTCCTGTTGCCTGCCCTGGTTTCGCCAGGACTGCTGCGATGAGTTTGTTTGTTTGTTTGCTGTTAGGGTTTAGGGATTAGGGTTTAGGGCTTGTTTGTGAATTGTTTGTTTTCTCGTTTGACCCTAAGCCGCAAGCCCTTGAGCCGTCTGTTGTGTGGTTCGTCGCTTCTTTGCGGAAAAACGCCAGGCTCAACCAGTTCAATAACCCAGCTCGGGATTCTAAGGTTCACTATACCTCTTTGTCATAGTTGGGTAACATTTTAAATTTTCAATCCAATCCCAGCCATGTAACTAGACCTCAGGATCATCATTTCAAACCTTATAGCCCTAATATAGGGGCGTAGGGTTTAGGGAGCTAGAACCCCACAGGCTCCATGTACCCATATCGTATATACTTCGGCCTTAAAGTACCTATATAGGGACCCCTTTAAGGCCTAAGTATCTACTATAAAGGTACATGGAGCCTTGGGAACCCTAAACCGTAAACCTATAACCCATCCCCAGCGCAGGAACGAGAGGTGAACCTCGCGCCTCCTCTGTTGCGGCCGGGGTCTCGGCGCAGCTGTGTTTGAAACGGTCCCGTCGGGTAGAGGCTCCACTGTCCCTTAATTAAGGAAGATACTTTAAATCATATCAGGGATCTTCTTGTAACTTAAGGCATATATTCCTTAATTAAGAGATGTTGGATTCTCTGGTTTTTCCGGGTGTTGCAGGAGTGGATTGTTTCCTGTCATTTCCTGTCCAAGGGCTTTGCAGGTGGGATGGAGGTAGGTGGGAAAATTAGGAGATCGTACAGCACGGTTTAGGGTTTAGGATTTAGGGTTTAGGGTTTAGGGTTTCGCATTTCTGCGTCGGGGCTTGGGTTTATCTTTAAGGCTCTTGGATAGATTTCCAGTTTGTGCCTGTTGGGCCAAGCCTTCTGTCAGATGTACGGGGTCTCCAACAATGAGTCGTTTGCTTGCCTTCTGAGGGGACTTGGGAGTAATTTGATTTTTTTGGGTTTAGGATCGCGAGACTTCGAGACTAAACCCTACCTATAGTCTCCATTGTAGTTCCTTTTTTTGGTTAACCAATTTCATGGTTAGGATCCTATAATAGAGTTTTTGGTTAACCAAAAACAGGAACCACAATGGAGACTATAGGTAAACCCTAAACCGTAGACGTCGTCGAGCCAGATGCGGACAGGCCTATGGAGCGGCCTTACATGCTTCGATCCGGTATTCCCAGCCGAAAGGGCAGCTCAAGTCGGCGTTTGGGGTTTACCTTAAACCCTGAATAACCTACCGTTTTAGGGTTCCTAGTATGATTTCCTTATATAAGTCCTTAAAAAGGTATGTAGGTTCTTCAGGGTTAAGGTAGGGGGTTAGGATCGAGAACCAAACCTCCATCCAGGCCCTACTTGGAGGGTCGGGGGACTTACTAAGTAGTTATTTTTGAGAGCTACCATAACTCCAGTTAGGGTCCCTTTTTGGGGTACGTATAACTCTACTTATTATGTACTTACTAAGTCCCCGACCCTCCAAGCAGAGACTCTGAGCCCTCCAGCCTTCGCAAAGATGGTCAGCAAGCTTGTAAGTAGCCCTAAGGGTCCATGTACCCGAATAGGGCTCCTTAAGAGGGTTTAGGGGTTCAGGGTTTAGGGGGGATACTATAAGGGTTCTAGAAGGGTTTAGGGTTTAAGGGGTCCATGTACCTAAATAGTATATACATATTGGCCTTAAAGTACTCCCTATATGGGTACATTGGGCCCAAAGTATATACTATTTGGGTACATGGACCCTTAGGGTAGGAATACCCCAAACAGGTAGTATAGGGAAGTCTAGTATAAGGGGCCCCAAAACCCTACTATATGTATTCAAGCCCTATATTTTCATAACTCGTCTCGCAGTATTCTTACGCGGTCCCTCTCCTCAAGCCTCAACCCGACAAACCCCAAACCCCCAAAGCCGTGTAGCCGTAAAACCCCTTAAACCCGAAACCCTAAACCAAGTCCAAGTCCAAAGGTAGTCATTCACTGAGACCTCTCCCTGCCGAGCCTAGCTTAACGACTTTCCATTCTACCTATAGTCTCCATTGCAGTTCCTTGTTTTGGTCAACCAGTTTTATGTTTGGGATCCTATAATAGAGACTTTGGTTGACCCAAAAAGGAACTACAATGGAGACTATAGGTAGTATGTTTAGGGCTTATGGACTCAAACCCAGGTCCTAAACTCAAAAACGAAACGGAAGGATCCATGCCATCCGAATCCCCAAAGGGAGCCACTTTAAGTAACAACCGCACTCCCCCTCCCCCCTCTCCCCAACCCTAAGCCCTATATAACCCTAAAGCCTAGTTTTAAAGGGGCGCAACAAAAATAACTCTAAATCCTAACTTAAAAGGTGCGTTAAGAAACCCAAAAGCCCTACCTAGACCATCTCCTCATACCTTTATTTCCGTGTGCTTCGATTTCTGCGCGTGGGCCCCTAAGATCAAAGAAAAGATGCGTGATGATTATTTCCGCGCGTGATGCTTTGGAACTGCTTAACCACAAGGAATGTGGATTGGGGATACATGACAAGGACATATCGGGGATGCATGATGCTACTCATCTTGAGATGACCGCTTTATCATTGGAAAACGACATACCCAGGTAATATAACTCTCTTCTTCTATTGTTTCTATTCCTATACTACGGGAAGCCGGACTTCCTGCTGACCATCCACATCCACAAGCTCCTGGCGATTCTTTTTGCATGCTGCCAGGGGCTCAGCTTCAGCCAAACTCTCTGGTCCATTGCTGTTGGTAAAGCAGAAGCGACAACCTAATGGTGCGGATAGCGCATGTACTGTTTGAACATCTCCTTGATATCCTCGCAACCCGCCCTATAAAATCTTCATCTTGCCAACAGTTCATACCTAAGTTGCTCTCGATTTGTGTTTGCGAATAACATACAGACTTGAAAACAGGGGCCATACTTAAAAGCTTAAGACAACACGGGCATCGACAAGCGGATACTATACGGTACGGGGATCAGCGTGTGTTCCACACCAGGCGATTGCCTCGTTCAACTTGAAGATCCAGATCGCGCCTATAGTTATAGTTCATACAATAATGGTTTTCACTCACGACACAAACAGACAGGACCGATCAAAACGAAGTAGCCAAGGAACACTATGTGCAGCATCATATGCACCTTTGGCCGTACTTTGAAAAGACACCACTGTCGTTGAGACGTGTGGAATGCCAGGGCACCGGCTCCTTCCTAAGTTGCAAGTGGTTTGTAATGGCCTCTTACCAGATCTTGTTATTGTAAGGATAAGATTGCAGCACAAGTGCACACATAGACCATCCATGCTGGGCAATCTTTGAGGCATCCGTAGCCGGGATCCACATAGCATGTGCATATAATCCCCGGAAGTAGGCATTCGTATGCACGAAAGTCCACTGGAGGAGCTCGTAAAGCTCCCTGTCGCTGGCAGCCTAAAACTGATCCAGTGAGATAGAATCATCGATCTTACATAGTTGAAACCATGGACCCCAAACTAAGACTTTGCAGGTTTTTATGTATAATAAGGGTTACATAGGATTTAATATAGAGATGGCTCTAAGCTAGCCTTGCCCTTTAGCTATCCTTGTTCACTAGAACAGACCTGTTCAGGATTGTAAAGGATTGTATGTATAAAACTTAACATATGTCCAATTCGGTAGATCGAGAATCAACCCTGTCGGATGCTCCGGGCTCGCTTAGCAAGTCCTCCAGCCACTCGCACAGTAAGATCGTATCCGAGCCTTTGCCGGCACCTTTGGGATAGTCTTGCAGCCTCAGCTCCGAACTAGTTCATGACCCATAACCCGGCCCCCTAGCTAGCAACCGAAGCCCGTCTTAACTATTTATCTATATTTATATGTATTATATGTATATATATATATAGGTATATATGACTAAACTAAACCCCTATCTTATATAGTCTCCCATAGTGTTTGAACTGCCGCAGAATCCTATCCAACTCAGGTGGAGGACGTCTTCATCTTGAATTTCAGCAGCCCAAATCCGTCCAGGCTGGTCGACTTCTGGTTTTTCCTACACCAGCTAATAAAGGAGTCGTACAATGCGTTTAGCCTGTCCTGTGTAGCTCGGCCCGGACAAATCTTGAGTCGCGACAGCAGTACAATGGCAGACGTTGCCATTCCAGACCCAAAACCTTGGATAGCAAACGTGTGAGCTGGATCCGTGCGGAGTCGCCACGGGTCGTCCGCGCCCGGTATGGATCGCAGTGGGCTCACATAGTCGTCTTTCCAGGGATCAGCAAACACATCATCCCTTGACCATGTACGAATATCAGATGTGGACGAGCAGTTGTACCAATCCTGCCATACCCGTGCACTAAAACAGTTCCGCTTCAGACTAATGTTATTAGCTTATGGTACTTGTGACACCCGACCTCTTGCTCACACATGTGGCATATCCTTTTAGAGGAGAATCCAGTCTCCAGACAGAAAGCCTTCCGGAGCCATACCCAGTCTCCTTTGCATCCAAGCCAGGCAAAACGGAAGTTGTGCTTCTGACCGTCATGTTCAACCTTACACAAAGTAAACCAAGCAGGTAAATCATTGATAATTTACCTAAACCTGCATAGATCTATAACCCAAAATCGTATTGACATAGGGGGCACATCCAGACCGTTCCAGAACAGATCACTACAGTCGTCAGCCAAGTTCTGTAGCAAGTCGAAGATTGTTGCGTCCCCATTGTAGCAACGAGCAGGTATCGCCGTAAAGATCAGGCGCGAGCAAAAGCTGTGCCTAGGTAAGATACTGACAATGTTTGTGCTATAATTTTAGTTCAGCTAGAGAAGCATAGACCACTAAACTCTGTCTAAACCAAGAAAAATCTACACTTAATAGACGAGTGGCCCACTTTCATTCAACTTATGTTTCCCAAAGTGCGAAAGCAGGCCCTGAAACGACAACACCAGCACAGGCATCTTCGACCGGCCACGACCTTCATCCCCGTGCAGGAAATACGGCAGAGTGCACTTCCGATTCAGGGATTCTGTAAATACCGGGTGCGATGGATCCACCTCCTGGTACAAATCCCAGAACTCCTCGAGGTCCCGTTGCCACAGGTCAATTTGGGATATATGATGTCCTTGCAACAACCTGGAGGATTTCCACTACAACTTTAAGGGATGTTATGTAACATATGGAGTATTTAGCTAGTATCTGTATCAGAGGGTACCCAAGTTAAGCGGGATGATTTATAAGATTAGGGTGGTTGGGGTCTCATTCGGAAAGCACTGGATCCTATACCTTCAAGAAGCGCAAACACAGCCGGGTAACATCTGTCCGCCTTGTTCGAGAATGAAGTGTGCCCAATTTGATAGTTTGATGATTGGCCACTGTAGTCTCTTTAGCTTCCTTGTCCGGGCATGACGGATCTTGATCACAGCATTTGAGATCCTGACTGGGAGTGTAAAGGAGGGCTTGGAGAGCAGGCGGTGGAGGTTCCGGCAGGTATTTGCATCAGAAGACCGCGCACATTTGGCCAGCTTCTGCAAAGTCGTATCACGTAGCCCTGCAGGCCAAAGGAAGTTGAAATCGAGACTTGTACAAGAAACAGTATACATGTATGTACAGTTTGTAAATACAATAATAATATATATATATATATATACTAACAACATATGATATCGAATATACAAGTATATATATATATATATGTATACATGTATGCATGTAGTAGGAAACATAACGAGCCTCGTCTTTCCAACTTCCGATGAGCCTTCGAGGCTAGACGACACGTGCGGGCAGCGGAGTCAGCCTCGCTTGCATCGTAAGCAATTGGACCGCATAGTTTTGATAAACCCTACCAGCCCTTTCTCACCCAAATGTTGCTTTATCCTTATAAGCCATTAATTGGGACAGAATAGAGAGAGAGGGAGAGATACTGAATCAGACGATGTATGCTTCTGCTCGACCCAACAGCACTACATCTTACACAACCCACTACACACGAAGAAACATTGCCGTGGAAACTGTAAGCCGTATGGGGTTTCTTATATAAGTATGTATACTATATATATATATATATATATATATATAGGGTTTGGACCAGCTATATCATATGTATAGAGCCCATCTAGAAATACCTTATCCTATAGAAATCTCCTACGAAGTCCTTCTAGGAAACCCATAGAGGAACCCTTATCATGAAACGGTCCAATAAAGCTCAGCCCTGCAAGGGACCCCAGAAGACAGCCCCGTCAGGAGCTCGTCCAGGAATCCATCCTCTTGATCATCATCCGGGTCCGCAGGACCTGGGCAGTGTTGGGGGGCCGCGAGTAAACAGATGGTTTGGGTCGCCGGGGACCCCGCTTGCATAAAAGCACTCCACATCATATCCTGCGAGTGGGGAAGTCTAGCAGTCTAGGATGTGCAGTGAGTCGTTTGCATGGCGACTGTTAAGAATGCAGCTCAGCCATTATCAGACATAATGGGGCACAACGATAGCGATCCTTTTTCATGCTGCGTCCGCGCTTCATGAACTGACTTCGCAGGATTGGCCCATGCCGTTAAGACTGCATGTGCAAGGCACTAATTGCGGATGACAAAATGTCTTCTTGCTGAAAGCATGATTGATCGAAGCTCCAGCTCTAGATGATGCAAAGATGCCTCAGCTTTCCTTGCGGCGCTTGTTGGAGCGTGCAGGAGCCTTTGCCACCGGCTGTGGTGCACGTTTGGCCTTTGCCTTGGCTTTGGTCTTCGGCTTCGGTTTTGCCGGGGTGCCGGCAGCACCCTTGCACCTCAGGTTTGGGGTTCTTACAAACCAGCAAGCATGCACATATAGGTTTTATGTAGGGTTGCCTGGGTCGTAGGGTTATACCTTCTAGCTTAGTGGATTACAGTCTAGAAAAGCGGTCATCATGATGGGCTCAATTATATTTTACGGGCTATATCTTCTATGCAGGGCACAGACGGTAGACTAAGGGTCTAGGCTTTGCGCTAAAGTAGGCTTGAAAGCAGCATTTTACAAGAGATCTAGATAGACTGCAGCAGAAGATCGTCTTCGCTCGAACAACATAGTTGTTGAGAGCCAGGTCGGCTTTGGTGCACTTGACATAGGTTTCCAGGGTATCTTTCTTCAGCCTGTTGCAGCACGAATCATGGATATTATGATAAGTGAGGCTTCCCAGAATTAGGCATTATCCACTCGGGCCTGGCTAGCTCCTTCTCGCTGTCGGTGGTGGCTGCACTGGCTTGCAGCTCTGTCAACTTCTTGTAGCAATCGTTCATGTTGCTCAGACAGGAGTCCACATTCTTGGTGAGCCTTATCAGCTCGACTGCATACATAGTAAGCTCATGTTGTGTATCATGGTGAACCACATCAGCTGCATATTATTTGGGGGCAAGCTGCTCGGTTGCCTTCGGCGTTGCCGACTTAGTCAGCTTCTCCTGCTTCGGAAGCCATCCAGCATTCGATAGGTAGTCAAAGCTTTGTGGGTTTGGGGAAACTAGATATTGGCAAGAGCTCGAAAATGGGCAGTTCGGGGATACATGATGCTACAGGCTTCTGTTCGGTAGCTATCGGACATGGCCTATTCTATGGTTATTATAGTTACTCCGGAATTTCCCTCCAACTTTTTCACGATGTACTCCAACCCTTAGCCTATATATCGCTTCAGATAAGACCCATACCACTGTGATACAATCTATATATACACAAATAATTTTCTAAACTAAGCTGGCTTGCGGTAGTGCTGTTCGGGATATTCTTGGTTGGCTTCTGGGCCTGATCGGGATTTCCAGCAGGACTGGCGGGCGCTCGGGTGTTTAAATAGGGTTCTATAGGGTTATATAGGGTTTATAAGGGGTTTAGGGTACGGGTTCCCTCCATTCCTATGCAATCCCCAAATCTCCTAAACCCATAGGCAACCGACTCCTGTAAAAAGTTGAATCTTGCAAACCTGATCCCCAACCTTCCACACCCCCAAAGCTTAAACTTGCTAAAAGCCACGAACTCCAAAACTTGCAGAAGCATACACCTTGCCGACATAGCGAACCCCAGCAAACACATACTCACACATATGTATGTACATACATATGTATGTATGTATGTATGTATGTATCTATGTATGTATGTATGTATGTATGCATGTAGATGAAGCTATGTATGCATGCATGTGTGTATGTGTGTGTGTGTCCACACTGTATATTTATATATGTATATGCACGTAACAAATCGGCATGTGCCCTGTTGTATATATATAATATATATATATATATATATATATATATATATATATATATTATACATATGTATATATAGATAAGTGCACGTATATACACCTATGTGTAGACACACACACACACACATGCAGATCCCATGCATATGATGAGCAAGCTCCTTCACAGTTTCGGCCATATCAATCTTCTTGCCAAGCACACATATATACGAGGACAGAAGCCCAAGCGGTGAAGCGTTCTGCTGCAAGCTGGGGAAGCACATCCTGGGCGGGGTCTAGTAGTGGAAGGGCTACAATTCAGGGCTCCAGCCGGCTTGCTTTCCAAGAATCTTAAAAGAAGCCCCAGCTTGTGCTGTGGCCACGGAGTCACTCGTCACCTGGCCCTCGCGGGCCTGCATGCTTCTGCCCAGGTCCTCGTTGGCCCCGTCGAGGATGGCACAGTCCGGATCCTAAGCAGATTGCGGGGCACACTGAAGTCCGAATGCACAGAGACAAGTAGGATGTGTTCCATGTCATAGGCTAGGCACTTCCATGCTGAAAGCGCTCGAAAAGCCAGTCTTCTGGCCCGACTCATTACTTGTCTTCCATGTCCACTCTAGCGGAATATCAGCCTCCTCTTCGCCATGAATCTCCGACTTATACAGTCGCCCGTTCCGCCTGGCCCATTCAAAGGCGTTGTCGGCCATGGTCCTGGTGCAGACAGACGACATCAAGGCAGCTTTGAGGGTTGCTAATGTTGCATGTGAACTTAATTGAGGTGCAGTCTGGGTGCGTAGTGTATTTCCGCACCTCGATGAGCCAGTGCTTCGTAACCGTGCCACCAGCCTCCGCGGACTTCTTCTTCTGAATGTGCCACTTCTCCAGCACTCCCTCGATCTTGTCAAAGCTCCCATGATCCAACAGGAGCTTGCGTAGCTGCTCCCCTGATGTAGCCGGGACTCAACATAATTCTACAGTACTATAGGCACATTGCAGCAAGGTCTCGACCGTCATGGGTTTTTCCCATCTCAAGAATACGGGGGGTGCAATGAACTTCACCTTTGGAGTTCGGCATGAAGTGGCGACGAATCCTTAGTTCATCTAAGCTTCACAGAGAGCCTTCACAGAGAGTTTGCACACATTGTAAATTCAACGACAAGTAGCTTCCAGTAGCCCTCCGGCTTCGGGGCATTCACCTTCTTCTTGGGTGTCGGTCTCTGAAGATTCGGAAACAGCTGCCTTCTGACATCTGGGCGGGATGATTGGCTGGCGGTGCCGGGTGTGGCCTTTCGGCTGTTGGCGCTGGGAACCTCCGGGCTGTCTTCAACCTCGATGGAAGGGGCCTTTGAGCTGGGAGGCTTTCGAGGGGTGCTGGCGGCCTCCGTAGGCGCCTGTCCCCCTTCGGCAAGTTTCGAGGATTGCTTCAGCATCTCCACCGTGTGAGATACTCGCAAACCTTTTAGTTCTGTGGCGGGGTTCCCAGGCGCATGGGCACCACTCGCACTGGCAATGCTCGGAGCACCTGCCGGGAAGGCTTTAGTATGATATATGAACTAGTACAACAGAGAAGGCACGAGCCTGGCAGGGGGTCTGGAATAGGATCTGGAAAACTCGAAGGTTCCGTAGCCAGCTGCTTCTGAAGCTCAGCCAGGTTGGCTGTGGCTGCCTGAGGTAATAATAGTAGAAACAGGAAGAGTGTGTATCGATTAATAGATTGGTACCATGGAACAGGGGATGTGTGAGTCTCAACAAATGCAAACAAAGAGCCGAGATCTGAGCATCAAGGTCTTCTTCCGGGATGTCGGACATGTTTGTCCATGATCGAGCTACCATAGCAACACCGTCGGTCAGGGTGTTCAGGGATGCAAATGAGGCCATGCTAAGCAAACGATCTGTATATGGCATGCAGTGACAGCAAGGTTGCATGGCCTAGATTTCATCCATTCTAGCTAGGGGTCTAGGCCCTCTGATATTCAAGCCTGGTAATACCCTGCACTCTCGAACCCTTCAACCTCCCAAGCTCTTCCTGATCACATCGGCATGGGCTGCAGACAGCACAAATGTGCACGGGAAGTAAAAAACGTACGCGTTACCTAAAAAACGCGCGTGACAAAAGGCTCCACATACAGATTTTGAGATTGCGCGAGAGTTGCTGGAGATTGCGCGAGAGTTGCGCGAGATTGCGCGAGAGTTGCGCCTAACTTTTCCCGGACCCAGCAGCCAAAACCAAAAAACGCGCGTGCAACTCTAAAAGCGCGCGTGACCCTTTGCCTGGCCTAGCACCCATGCAGAAATGACCACTGACTGTTTCCGGCAGGCAGCGAAGATCCATCTGAATCTATGGACGATTGGCGGGAGCCCTGTTGGCCAGTGTGCAATTAGCTACTTGAGCTCGCCCCCATAAGTAACGAGTTGTACTCCTCCCTGAGGTGCCCGTGGCAATTCACCTTTGTGGGTCGGTTCATTTACATCTTGCGACACAGTAACTATATCCCAAGCCATACAACATAAGCCCAAGACACCCTGGCATTCAATTCTTTGTCAAAGTGATGCATTGTATCTTCCCATGATGGAGGTACCATAAGATACCTATTCCGTCTCAAGTAGAAATATACCGAGGGCAGCTCCGCATCTTCCCACAGGTCTTTCATTGGCAGAGACTTGAACAACTCCACATCGGACAAGTCGGGGTTCACGGTGTTCTTGTGACGTAGGCAACCCAGACTATGCGGGGCAAAGTCCGAAGTGAAAGCATCATATATTTGCTTGACCAGCTCCATTGGATAGACCCTGAGCAGTCTAGGACTAGATTGTTTTGCAGGAATTCAGGGGTTATCGGAATATATTCACCGGGATTACAGCTACCCCTCTAACACTAGATGCAACCCCCGTACCCCCATAATCCCCTAAAAACCCAAACATCAACCGCCTGTCGGATTCGAACATCCCAGAATGACTAAGTATGATGCTAATGCAGGATTATAAGCATAGAAGGTTTTTCCAGGGATACGAGAGAGTTCTCAGGGTAGAAAGCCCATTAAGTTTGAAGCATGCTGGTCTTACACGACCATAGGACCCTTGAAGCCTGTCGTGACTTTTGGTTTGAGTATGCGACTTAAGTCTCCACTAGGTGGATTGCAGTGAAACAATATAACTAGGATTTGGGGGGTATATATGTAGGTTTTAAGGAGATAGACGAGCTAGGGATGCAGCGAATTGGGAGCTTCCGACATCGTGGCCTACTTGTGAACAATTCCAGAAGACCCGGCAACACCTTTCAGAACCAGAGGCGGAATCGCATCGAAGCGATACACGATATGAATTCGTGCGAAGAGTACCAGGCCTACTGCGCGGCACGACCCCGGTCTGTCCGGCGGCAATCGGAGCCACTGACTCCGAATGCCATGCAAGTCATGAAACCCTGGATCGATGGGAGCATGGGTGGACGGACGAATGGACTGGTGGCCACGTAGGTATCAGAAGCTACACGTACTAGCCTAGCCTATTCGAAAATATGTAGCCTTAAATCCCCCACCCCTGGACCATCAAAAACATACAGTGCACTGGAAGCCTTTCGCTGGCTAGCTACAGAGGGCCCATGCAGAAGCCAACTTCCTGGCTAGCCTCTAATATATAGGTTCGGGGTTTAGGGCTTGTGGGTCGGTAGTGTAGGGTTTGTATATATAGGGTCCATTGCTCATTGGCTTTGCATAGAATTGCTGCTGGTGATGAGGAGTAGTAATCGTAGCAGCCTCAGCAGCAGTAGTACTAGTAGTATATTGGTCGTTGTCGTTGTAGGAGGAGTAGTGCTGACACACTAGGAAAGCTGTATGTCCTGGACCACAACACGAAGTGCTCGCCTTTGCCATAGGGTAGGTTTACATATATATAGAGTTTTGAAGGGAGCGGGATCATAGGGGAAGCCGGTAGGCTGCAGTTAAAGGTGTATAGGGCCTTTAGGGATATTGTAAGTGTAATAGGATTCATATAGGGTGGGTGTTATGGGGTTTGCCGGGTCCTAGTATAGCTATAGAACGAGGTTGTAATGCATGCCTAGCAACCCGGCATCCTTCAGGCTGGCGGTAGCTGTGAAGCGCTCGACACCATCGGAGTCCTTCCACCGTCCTTTGGCAGAGAGGGGCGATTATTCCATTAGACATCCTATACAATCCCTACCCTAGAGACCTGGTATAGTTGCAGCTGAAGATCGAGTAGTGCGGGCTTTGGCTCGGGCTTTCTTGTGGTTGGCTTTGAGCACACCGCGGTCGAAGGTCTTGACTTTGGGAGAATTCGAGAACATCTTAGTACGCTTCGGAGTGGAACTCCCCCAATGCATAAGCCAGAAGGCTTGGCTGTATACCTAAGTGGGTCTGCTTGCAAAACAGGCGGTTTGCAAAATCAACAAGCACACACCCTAATTGCTGGACCAAGCAACATAGAGCACGGAATTGCAAAGCCATTCAAACCGATTGTGCTTGTGGAGAAGCGAGCAGTATGGATGTTCCAATAGCCACGTGGTGTGCATGGCCGTCATCAGTAATATTGCCAGAACGACACTTAGATGTTCATCGATCACGAATGGCTTCTTACATATCCAAGACTCTTGACAGAAAGCTCAGAAGTTATTGCAGCTAGATGCCGGCTGATCATCGTGTTGGCTGAGTGTACACTTTCGTAGCCATCCTGACCCCGGAAATTGATAAAGGACCGCATGCTTGTGCCCCGATTGGGAACACCCCAGGAGGAACAACTTGGCCCCATCAAGTTCACAGCCGTCGGCTTCTCGCGCATAATGCACCATAACACTAGCCTCAGACCCCGACTGTGCAGCCGTAGATCATTCCTACACATCGTGGTTTCTTGTGCATGCATCTACTATACCCAGGCTGGGCCAAGCCACGCAAACCCAGCACCGGTGAGAAAATCCATGGAGGCACTCCGATCAATCTCAATGGTCGCGACTTTCTTCCCTTGGGACTTCCTGGGCTGGTTGACATCCTAATTAGACCCCTAAGCCCGAGACCCCATGCAATTTCTCAAAGACAAGTAATCCCAAACTGATTCCGGAGCTGCTTTTATGTCTAGGCTCCAGTACTTGGAGGCATTCCCAACTCCCGAAAACAGGTCGAGAAGATCAAAGGATTTGGCCTGCGGTAGGTTCGTCGACCAGAGTAGCAGCAGCACCACTGCTATCAGTACCTGGGCAAGCGTGCAAGGAGCTGTCGGGTCGGGGCTGATCACGGTTTATATAGGGTTGTTTGTAGGGTGATAGGGTTCATAGGGAGTAGGGTTTAGGGTTTAGGGTTTAGGGTTTTTTGGGATTTTGGTGTCATAGTATTCCTAGAGTGATATATCTGTGAATCAAGGCGGTTCTCCGATATCATCCAAGCAGCCTTCGGGGCTCCAACATGAATGAGCCGAGTCAGTAGCGATGACTGTGGCACACGAGAATCCATTGCACCCTGTAGAGAATCTATGTGTTTGCAACATTGCAGGAACGATCTGCGCAATCATGCCTGCTGCTGTGCATACACATGTGGGCTGCACTCCGAAGCCACCAAACACTCTCGGTAACATACATCTCAGACATTCCAAGAAACACCGAAGCACAGGAGAGGGGTCGGGTAGCACCTTTCGAAGCAGCACGGCGAGCCACGGCCATGGTTCACCTGTTGCAGTGGAGACGGCCGTATTAGGTTTTGCATGAGGTGTAGGTATTGCAATTCAGATTGGCACCCGACACACTTGCAAAGATGTTCATGGCACGTGCTTACTGCATAGCATGTCACCTCTAGCAAGGGTATTATAGCTTATATGTCCCACTGCCAGTCCCCGGCCTCGGCGTCGAAGTCGAAGTGGCAAGCCATCCAGTTCGGCCTGATATGTGTGTGGAGGCTGGGGAAGTTTGGGGTTGCGGAGGTAGGACTAGGATGGGCCTTCAAAGGATGTTCAGGCCGAAGAGCACCGTGGACTGGTAGCCAGGGTTCTGAAATCCTGCCCAGGTTTCTTTTCAAGGTGGGTTCACATGATAGGGCTTACGGGTGCAATCATAAAGGGCTTGTATAGTCCTTGCCGTGGTAAGCCGAGGTAAGCTCGCCCAGCCCAGCCCATGAAAGACCTGGCGTGGCCAGGATCATCAAAAGAAAACGATACAATCTATAGGATGTCATGCGTATCTGAAGCAGTGCAATTGGAGACAAGCTAGAAGTTTTGCACCGGTCGTGTTGAGCTCTTTTGATCATCCAGGCTTTTGCTTTGATTGGGTTGGCCACGAGCATTTCCCCTAGCCCGGCAGCACTCCCAAAACAAAATGTACGTAGCTATTGCCTACCGCACGAAGCAAACTGAGTGAAAACATCGATCATCGAAAAGCGCCACAGCTTCCGCTTCTCATAGCCAGATTCAATCTTTCTCATAGCCGCCATAGCCAGACTCAATCTTGCTCAGCATAAGCCTTGGATTGCGAGCTAGAACAGCACACGAATGTTGGTATACATATATATATATATAAACATGCTTCCACATACCCATGTACACACATCCACATATACTCTCTCTCTCTCTCTCTCTCTCTCTCTCTCTCTCTCTCTCTCTCTCTCTCTCTCTCTCTCTCTCTCTCTCTCTCTCTCTCTCTCCTGTCACATACCCACGCTCGCTCTAAACCTCTCTCTATCTCTCGCTCTCACTTGGATTCAACCGAGTGGCTTGCTTGGCCCGAATGGCTGCCTCCTCTTTCGTGCAACCTTCCTTTATGGCGATGGCCTTGGCTTTATGATAAGCACAGCTTTTCCTGCTCTTCAGCCCTCCATCTGGAGCTGCCCCGCGCTTCACAGCCTCACGATCCTCGCGGGGCTTTGCAGCCGCCTTTGCTTTGGATTTTGCTTTGGCTTTGGCTTTCGCCTTCGGCCTCACCTGCTTGGGGGAGTAATGCTTCGTATCCTGGCTATTCATCTCGTCATCGCCTGCCTTGCGCTTCTTGGGTGTTGCCTTCTTTGGGGAAGCCTTGCCTGTCGGCTTGGCCGGTGTGGCTTTGGCCTTCGGGGCAACCGGGTTTTTCCGGGGGCGGCCCGGCTTTCTTTTCGGAACATCTTCTTTCTCCTTCGTGGCTTTCGTTTTGGGCTTTGGCTTGATCTTCTTGTCGTCCTCACTCTCTCCCTCATCTTTCTTGGCTTTCCCTTTGCCTTTCTTCTTCTTCTTCTGCTGCTCTGGTGACACGACCCCAGCCGTCTCTAATAGGGCAGGTCGTTTCAGGTCGGCCTCATCACATTTGGGATCTCCTGTGGCTGCTGTTTCTGCTGTGGCTGCTGCACCCTTCTCACATTTGGGATCTCCTGTGGCTGCTGTTTCTGCTGTGTCTGCTGCACCCTTCTCACATTTGGGATCTCCTGCGGCTGCTGTTTCTGTTGTGGCTGCTGCACCCTCATCCCCTTTGGGATCTCCTGCGGCTGTTGTTTCTGTCGTGGCTGATGCATCCCAGGGTTCGTCTGCTGGGCTCGGGGTGGCATGTTCTCCTGCTTCTTCCGCTGCATGGCCCAACTTCTCATCCGCATGCTCTGATTCCGGCTCCTTCTTGATTATTGGCTTATCCAAAGGCTCTTGCTTGATTGGTGTCTTCGGCTCTTGCTTGATTGGTGTCTTTGCTGGTTCCTGCAAAGGCCTGGGCTTGATTGCTGGCTCCTGCAAAGGCCTGGGCTCGATTGCTGGCTCATGCAAAGGCTTTGGCTCGCTTGCTGGCTCATGCAAAGGCTTTGGCTCGATTGCTGGCTCATGCAAAGGCTTTGGCTCGATTGCTGGCTCATGCAAAGGCTTGGGCTCGATTGCTGGCTCATGCAAGGGCTCTTTCTTGATGGGTACCCGCGGTGCCGGCTCCTGCTTGATCACTACACTGCCGCATTTCGATGCTTTGCGCGGCAGCCACTCCGCAGTCTGAGTCCTCAATCGCTTGGGACCAAGCTTCTGCGGAGCTTCATTCGAGTAGACGTTGGCAGCGAGAGCTGCCGCCTCCCTCGCCTGAACGTCTTCTTGGAGGCTCCTTGCAGCCTCGTTCATCAAAGACTCGTCCATCACTTGAGTCTCTTGGGTCGTGACATTACCTGAGTGCATGACACAAGAAACCAAAGTCACGCTACGAACTGCCCAATTCACATCTCTGACGATTCTAGCTGCATGCAGGGTGCCACCCACAGGACTTTTCACTTTAGAACGGTTCTGCTTCGCCAAAAGCAACATCGACAAGTGTTGCTGCTGCTGTTGCAATGCTAGCAAGAGTGCACGCTTGTCGGGAGCTGGCACCTTCACCCCTGATTGAGGGGATGTTCCAGCACCTGCCACATGCCTTGGGGTGACCAGATCCTCTGTAGCCGGAGCGGATAGTAGGCTTCCTGAGCGAGGAATCATCCCAACATCGTCATATATATACATACATATATGTCCAATGCATGCAAAGCTTCTGGGGGAAGTCGAGGGAGTTCCGCGCTGGTCCGAAGCTACACTGGGAGGCTCAGGATCTACCTGTGGGGCCTTGCAAGGCTCAGGCTCCAATACCTCATCCTCGGTTTCAGCTTCCGACTCACCACATTCTTCATAGCCGACCTGCAAAACATCACCCACAACACCACTCCTGAACGACTCAAGCAAACCGCCATGCCTCCTCACATCCCACATCGTCCTCAAGGGTCTCATTGGATCGTGGCTGCCGTCCTGGGAGATAATTCGAGGCATTAAGGGAGATGTTTATAACCAGTATATATAGAGTAGGGTTTATATATTACTAGTATCCCCATAAACCCCATGCATACACTCACCAAAATTCAAAAGGAGCCCTATCTACCCTCACCAAAATGGTACTTCATGTTCGCAATCGCTTCTATACTTGCAGGCAAAGTACCCGGTGGAATCGGAATTCCCAAGTGAACATAAATCTTTCGAATGTTCTCTTCGTTGGGGCGGTGAGGCAACTTGGCAATCCGGTTGAACATGGAAATCAAATTCCGAACTCGCCAAGCTTGGTTGCGGCAAAAGTCACCTTGGAAATCGTTCAATCAAGGCAGGATAGAAACTTCATGGAACGACAGAAAATGCTCTGCAACCGTATGGGCTTTCAAATTGAAGCCTAGTGGCTCGTGACTGGTTTCCTGCACCGCATCTTGGTGCGCCGGAAAAAAAGCTGCACATCATCTTGCAGCTGGTCGACCGCCGGACGGGCACCCACGTACTCCATCGCCTTGGCAACGACGTCCCAGTTAAAATCGAGATCTGCCCGGGTCAACACACCTGGACCAACGATCAACCGGCCCGACGCTCCCCTCTCCGAAAGGCCCTCCAGCTTGGTCCAGTCGTAGCTCAAGCCAGATTTTGGCAACTCAGAGTCCTCCCCCAGCGACATTGTTGACAAAGATCGAATCATGCTCATGCTTGTAACACCAAGTTGAAAGTGCTCACTGCTCACTGCTCACTGCGATGCTGCTTCGGCACACCAAGTTGAAAGTGCTCACTGCTCACTGCGATGCCCCTCATGTACATGGCGCGGAAGCCAAAGCTGCATGATAACCATGTCACATCATGCCATACAATCCGCACACACACACACACATAACTGCGACCACCAGAAGCAACGAAGCCAGGGATACCCCGAGGGAGATGTCCCGGCATCCCCTGCCAGGCTGCAATATGCACTCCTTTGGGGAGACGCACTTCTTCGTCCTCTTCTGTTATGGTTAACCTATTTTCTATGAGACATTTGATATGCATATATGTATGTAGTATGGTCAAGTATATACTCTGCCCATATACACGGTTTAATGCTACCCGTATGTACACATGTGTCTGTGCCATAAATATGTATGTCGCTAGGTAGGTAGGTAGGTAGGTAGGTAGTGAGGGGCATAGGGTGTATGTGTATGCCACCACGTGGCTGTCTATATAGAAATACATTGCTATGGAATAGGATACTATGATATACATGTATATTCACATTATAAGTGCGAGAAATAAGTCCCAAGACAGGCCCGGCCTCTGCATGAAGTGCTCGATCTCCAGCTCGAGCAAGAAGTTCGAGAACATGCACAGAAGCGGGATTTCCATGCGACACGTTTTTTTCCATACGTAATCAGTGAAGCATATGATTTCCGTACGTGATTATACTATCTTTGGGAAACAACAACACAAGCAAAAATAAACATGCGATCAGGCGTTCCAGGTAAAGCCTAGTTTTAAAGGGGCGCAACAAATAACTTTAAATCCTAACTTCAAAGGTGCTTTAAGAACCCCCAAACCCTAAACCCAACCTCACGCAGGCGCTGTGCTTCAGCCTGCACATCGAGGTGCGATATGTTGATCCCTATACTTGGAGGGTTGGGGGACTTAGTAAGTAGGTAAGGGGTAGAGTCAGAAGAACCCTAAAAGGGATCCCAATTGGGGTTATATGGTACTTATAACTCTATTCAGCACCAGCCCCCAGAACCACTAAACTCTAAGCATCACTTACCCCAAGCCATTAAACCCTACACCCGAAGACTTTCTTTGGTGACGAAGCGCTCTCTCCCCAAGGTGCCGGACCCTCGTAAGGAAATGCCTGAGGCCAAGGTATATATCATTTTGGTGCATGGACCTTTCGGATTTGTATAGCCTCCATTGTAGTTTCTCTTTTTGGTCTAGCCAGGTGTTTGCTTTAGGATCCTGGAAGGTATAACCCCAAAGGGACCATTGGAGACTGTAGTAGGGTTAAGGATCTTGGCCGGAACCCTTGACCCTAATCCCAGTTTTCATCATCAACCTAGCTCTCCCTGTCCCCGAAGTATATATATATATATATATGTATATTATATCTACTCTATTCGGCCTCTAGGGTAATTCTCAAGGTATAGAGTAGTACCCCTGAACCCTAAGCCCGAGTGAGGTACTACTGTCGTAGGAAACAAGCCCTGCATCCCAAAAGAAAATTCTCCCTCAGACCCAGACGATTGCGCAGGACTCGGCCGATCCGGCAAGAGCTGATGAATCCATGGAGCAGGCGCAGACCTTCCCTAAGGCTCCATGTAATATAGCAGGTACTTAGGCCTTAGAGGGGTCCCTATATGGGTACTTGAAGGCCTAAATACCTACTACATGGGTACATGGAGCCTTAGGGTTTGGGCTAATAAGTTACGAGCGTAAACAGAGGCCAGGGGTTAGGGATTGAAGCTATAGCGGTTTCGGGGTTTGGCTGCCGGATTGTGGGATGGCATTGGGTAGGTTCAAAGGGATCTGTTAGCACCAGGACTGTTGACTCTTATCTCCATGTCCAGTTACTTGTAACAACCATCATCATACACTTTTGCAAGAACTAGTTGCGCTACTGCAATTCCCAAATTGCCCAACCCCAAGAAGCAAACGGTTCAAAGCCGGCGCCACAGCGCTGAAAACCCTGAACCCCAAACCTTACCATGTATGTAGACCCCCCAAATACCCTTTATTGTAGCTCCAAATTACCTCGTAATGAGAAATATTATAATCCTTTGAAGGGTACTTGGGGGGTTCTGGTAAAGCTCCTAAGCCCTGAAGCCCCACCGAGCCTGCAGGCTTCGTTTGGGGTCGGCCTGGTTGACACGGTAGCTCAGGACGCAGACGAGGCAATTCCGAACTGGGGGTTTAGCATGTAGGGTTGAGGTTTCGGGGTTTATCAGGGTTTAGTTTAGGATGATGGCGGTTTGGGGCAGTTGAGTTTTGGGGTTTAGGCTGCAGAGGTGTGGCGCGATTGAAATTCGGGGTTTGGGATTTTTCTCGGCTGCGGAGTCAGGGTCTGGTCTCGGACATTTGGGGTTAGAGACTTCTTATCCAAGGGCTCAAACTGGCACACCACAGCCTTCTATATTTGGGGTTCCAAATAGCACACCACCGTCTTCTATATTATGGTCTTTGGGCCCAAGAGCCTAGATTTTTTTATGAGTCCTTAGTAGCGGTAGGATATGGAGCTTCGAAGATGGAGTTCAGGCCGAGGGATTAGGGACTTGGAGATGGGTTTTGCTTAAAGGGGTGGTTTTAGCGTTTAGTAGGGTTTAGTAGGGTTTAGTAGGGTTTAGTAGGGTTTAGTGGGGTTTTTAGGATTTAGGGTTTAGTGCTTGGGGTTTTTAGGGTTTGGGTGGAGTGGGAGGCTGGGTCTCTGGGATGTCATATGTAGGGTTGTAAGTAACATACCTAGACCCTCCATCTAACCTCTATTAGACCCTAAATGCCCCATATACCCCTATTTGAGGGCACAAGGAGGGTCTTGGTATGGGAATCTATGATTGAACTAGTAGGCTTTAGGGATTTGGGGTTGCGTGATCTGTGGGCTAGCGGACAAGATGCTGTTGTTCTGCGCGGTTTGCAGCTATAGGGTGTTAGACAGCCTAAGAAGGTCGACAAGGGGGGGTGGTAAGTGAGTCATAACGCAGGTATAGCCAAGGAGAGAACTGGTTCCCAGGCTGAACTGTTAAGCTCATTATAGGCATTTAGTGCTGAATCAGTACTGAAAGACTACAGAGCACGAAATCACATGGGTGGTTGTCAAAATTATGGTCCCTTTTTGGGTCCCCAATATAGAACGGCACCTACTATTTAGGGCACCCAAAAAGGGACCATAATTTTGACAACCATCCACATGTAAAAGCGAGTAGAGTAGGAAGGCCTCCCTGCCGAGACGAAGAGGGAAAAATAGTGTAGGCGGCGCCATACTTTTCGAATCTTCACCTAGACCCTCCATCTACCCTCTATTAGACCCTAAATGCCCATTATTTGGGGCCATATGCCCCTATTTGAGGGCACAAGGGTGGGTCCTGGCAAGCGATTTGGGGCACCAGGACTGAAATCTTCAGCCCCGCATAGCTGCAGGGATAAGATGCTGCTTGGGGATATCCTTGCACTCATGGCCGGGATCCTTGAAAGCCCCTAAACCCTAAACTCTGAAGCCTACAAACCCTAAAACGCTGAACCCTAAACCGTAAACCTTGTACAACCTGTACAGCGGAAGCCCAAAGTTGAAATATGCTTGTCTCGATGTGCATAAGGTAAAGCATAAGGAGTTCTAGCAAGTCAGTTTTATTCCTTGTTCCACGCTAGATCAAGAACCCTAGACTCAAAACTTCTAAAACCTAAACCCTAAAACCCTAAAACCCCTGAACCCTAAAAGCGTAAACCTCTATAAAACCCTAAAACCCCTAAAAACCCCTAAAAACCCCTAATCCCTAAACCCTAAAATCCTAAAACGCTTAAACCCTTAAAAAAGCGTAAACCTGTAAGCCCGAAAAACCCTAAAACCCCTAAGCCCTATAAACCCTAAAATCCTAAAACCTTTAAACCCTCAAAACAGCACCCCCCTTTGCCGTCCGAGAGGTTGGCTTCTCCGGCTTGGACTTTCTCGCTTCTCAGGCCTCGACGCGTCGTTGGTTTCTCTGCCCAAAGGCTCAAAAATACCTACCTTTAAGGGTATATACTGGCAGGGCACCTTGAGGCTACTTTAAGGGTTCCGGATGAAGTCTGTATAGTAGAATGTAATTAGGGTTTCTATATCAGGAATTTCTATTATGAGTCAGGGAAGTAGGACCCTTTGAGTTTTGACGACTCTTAACTTTAATCAGAATAGCAGAATTCGATTTTAGTTATATTCCTTACTTATTTTGAAAAAGTCTTGGGAGTTGCCGAAGGGGTGGATTCTAAAGGTAAGGGCTTAGGGCAAAGGAGTTAGGGCTTAAGGTCTAATGGTTGTAGGGTCTTGGGCCCTGGGGTTTAGGGTGTAGTACTGCTTTTGATTAAGCTAACTGGGCCCAACGTCTGCTTGAGAGATCTTAACTTGAGGCCCGCTAGTCAATGCTATCCTGGTTTCTGGAAACTACTTGACGACGAGAGGAGCAGTCAGCTCTGCATATACCATATACTTGTCATACAAGCATTGTATGTTTGGATGTACAATTTCGCATGGTGTCTTCGGCGTCGTCTCTCGTAGCGGGCAATTGCAGTAGCGGCACATGTTCCGGCCTTGTAAAACCACTGCCGAACCTAGCAATGTTTGACTTGGGCTTAGGATAGTCGGTTTGTAGGTTAACTATGGGAGAGTACGTGACTAGTGAACCCTAAGCCCTAAGCTTGGACCCTTATACCTCCGTGCTGGAGGATAGTAGCTAGTTAGATAAAACGTTTTTGATGTATATGATGATAAGGTACCTTGGTGGATCCCTAGACAACAAAGCCCGAGCTACAGTAACCAATGTACCCTTGACAAAAGTCAGAGTGTTCTATGATTCCCTCAAGCTCTTTAAGGATTCATCTGATACAGCTCTTGGGCCCAAAGACCATACTCTTTGAGGTGTTTCAGCGATTTGAACCTGCAGGGACTCGAGGTAAGTCCAATCTGGTGCTTTCGAACACCTTGTTCTGCAGGTGCTGCCCCTGACTGCGGGATCTGCAGTGGTCGAGGTGGGGCATTCGGTAAATTATGACGCAGTCTATCTGTAAGTCCCTACTCATAAGAGCTGATTCCTTACAATGCGCTGAGGGTTGTGCACGAAATCCAAGATGTCGCCAGGATGATCGCGAGTATATAGTATAACCCCACACCGACAATCCTACGACTCAAGCCCTAAACCCAAACCTCCCAAACCCAAACCCCAAACCCTAAAACCCCTTTGCAACATGCCGAATTGCAGGTCCAGATGAAGCCAGAGGCTGCCAGTGGCAACTACGAGCTTGCCTTGCTTGTGCGCGGCACTCAAAGCTCAGCCGAACTTCGGAACCCCATCAAGTGTCGTATGGAAGCTTGTTGTTTTATCTGTATGTATACATAAACACATATACAAATGTAGGTGTGTGTATATACATATATATATACATATACATATATACATATGCCATGTAGATGTGTCTGATGTGGGCGTGTGTGTGTGTGTGTGTGTGCGCGCGCTGATCTCGTGGCGGCTGCGAATCAAATCTCGAGGGAGAATCGAGTTCAGAGCATGCAATAGACAGCAGGGATTGTTTCGTTTCACTGGGTGTTTCGGAACTGCAGACTGCCGTCGTTCGGCATGTAGGAGGAGTTGATTTTGTGGTTTGGTTCAGGGTTGGTCTGTAATGCTCGGCCTGAGGCACAGTTACAGATCTAGACGGAGTTGTGGCACAAACTTGACTAAGTGATCTCGTGGCGCCGTATACATATGCCGGGATTCAGCCATCGCCAAAAGCAGGAACACGTAAATCCTACAGACTGAACCACGTTGCTTCCTGAACGATCCTTCTGCAGTATTTGTTTCAGCCATCAAATTCAAAGGAATTCCTATATACAGACTTCTGGGTACTACTTTCGGGTCAAAGTATATATACTATGCACATGGACTTGTAGCGATTTGGCATTTCTGATATCCATGTGACAAGCAGCAGCAACCATCTAAAGGGAACTCCAGAAAGTTGGAATATGGATTAATGGTAGGATCCCCTATAATTTACCTTACAGGGGTTACGATAATGATATTCCAACTTTCTGGCTTCTACTCTACCGCCCACTTATCGGGTTCAGGGTGCAGGAAGGTTAGGTAGAGCTCGAGGTTGCATACTGCCAGGTAGGGGACTTCTAAGGTTCTGCCTCTTGGTTTATTCCATGTGGGAGTTTCCGAAAATAGGGGGCCCTAATCTCGTACACTATATAGCAGGATCCTTATTATAAGGACCCCAAAATGAGGTACCCCTATGTTCGGAAACCTCCCATGTTCTTCAATGCTATAGCCCACTGCCCTCCCGGCACCCCTGATCCGGCCCTGAATTCCATGATTGCGAGCTTGAAAATGATGCAGAAACCCTGGATCAGTATAACTTTCCCTGTAATCGTCTAAAACCCTAAACCCCAAACCCCGAAACCCCTTAGCCCCTGATCCCTACAAGCCGACGACCATAGATTAGGAGGCAAACGCCGTCAACACTGCAAGTCCGAAAACCTTTCTATTGGGATGCTAATCCCTAAACCCTAACATAGAATCCCAATTGTATAGACACCCCGAGCCGAGGCTCACCAGTGACCGATCCTTCTCAGTGCCTCTGAAGAGAAACCCTGCGCTTGGGACGATGCTGAGGCTGAAACTCAAAAGCAAAGCCCTTAGCTTCTTCGGGGTTCTTATCAGGGTTCTACAAAGGGTTTTATCTGATTAGGTTGTAGTTGTTAAAAGTCCGAAGGAGGCATAACGATTCGATCATAGATACTTGGGTTTAACATCGTAGTTTTGTCGGAAAGAATGTGGCGGGAGTACGTGATTGTTAGGTCCTTGAACCCTTACGCTAAGACTCCAAATGGCCCAGCGCGCCTTCATAGGCCTGCCCCTCCCCCAAGCTGGGCGGCTTGGGTTGGATGTTGGCACCTCGCAACCCTGCTTACGGACACTTCTTCAGCCATGACCACGAAATTATCACAAAGCCTGATCCCTTCAATTAGGATGGAGGACTGTGCCCAAACCCTCGACAACCTAACAAGGTTTGCGGTGCCAGGTGCAGGGTTTCAGGTGTCTGAATCAAAGCAGCGGACCAGGGCAAGGGCTGCAGCCATTCTATTCCAAGAGCCCAAGCAACTGTTTCTTTGCAGTTCTGGAGGCTTACTACAAGCTGGCAGCCGTAGTTAATATAAATCCAGAAACCCCACGATATCCAAAGAGGTGACACCTGCTACAGTAGAAGCCCAAAAGTTGGAAACCCCAGAGCCTCCATCCTTAAGAGTAATGTATAGGGAATCCCAGCACTATTTGGCCTTAATCCGGTTTCCAACTTTATGGGGTTTACTGTATAGGAGTTTAAAAGCTTCGGCACTTGAAAATGGCAGTCGGCAGCTTTTTACCTTTGGGCCTTTGGGCTGGACTTCAACTAGCTTTTGCGGATGCCAGCCGTTGGTCGCCCATATTCCCCAAAAAGAATCCCAGAAACTGTTAATTATGTGGGATACATTCTCAAAGCATTTTGGTAATCCCCAGTATAGAGACCCTACATTCTACTGTATACTTTGTCATAGTTGGGGAACATTTTACTTGTTTATGGGTACTTAAACCCAATACGGAATAGAAATTCATTTGTTTAAATCTTATCCCAACCATGAACTAGTATAGGTACTTTGGACCCTTTGGGATTAAGGGGATTGAGAGGATTCAAGCGGAAGAGCTGGGTCTTTCCACGACAAGGTGCCGTCAGCATGCCTGAAGCCCTAAGGCTCCATGTACCCATATAGTATAAACTTGGGCCTTAAAGGGGTTCCTATATGGGTACTTTAGGCTATAAGTTATAAGTAGTATATACTATATGGCTACATGGAGCCCTTTGGGAAGAGACAAATCACGAGGCACTTGAGCAAATCTATGTGGTATGTTGTCATGAGGTCACCCTAAACCCTAAACCCCTAAACCCCAAACCCCTAAACCCTAGACCTTAATTACGCGGGCAAAGCCAGGTCACAACACCAGCAGAGGTCCAGGACGACTTCCTCCACAACGAACCGTATCAAGTCATCTGGCTATGCACCCCTCAAACCCTCAACTCTACACCCAAATTCCGATACCCTAAATCATGCGAAACCCTAAACCCTATCCCCAAACCATGCTGAACCCCAAAACCCAGCAGGTTGAATCTCCAAAAAATGACCTGCGACACGTGTTCCAAATGGCTTCCTTGTCTCGGAAGGCCTGTGATCTGGATCCGAGGCACGACAGACGGATTCTCTTTTAGGGTATAGGGTTTGGGTCTTCGGGGCTAGAGTTCAGGGTGTAGGGTTTGGGGTTGAAGTTACTACGGTTGATGATATAAATCCTGCATTACCTTATAAAGGACCCTAAACTATGGGAGTTATGGTATATTCCCTATTATGGGTCATGCAGGATTTATATCATCAACAGTAGTATTAGTAGCCCAAATTCTTTTCACATACCCAAAACTCCAAGCCGGAGGTTTTGTCCAGGGGAGTGTGGACATTGAAGGTTTCAGGGCTTAAGTTACAGGATCCCTAGCATGTGCACTAATGTCCCCAGGCGGTGCTGATTACCCAAAACTGCCTCTGGTCAAAGCGGAGTCAGACAACTTAAGGCATACGTCCAGGCGCTGCTGAAGTCCAAGCATCAGACGTGGATTGAACTTCCACCCGAGCTTCGCCCGAAGTGGTGGAGGGAGAAGTTCGCCCGGCACATTGCGTTGCTACCAGAGTTTCCTGGAAGCTGGTTTCCCAAGCGCAAGCTTTTGGTGTCAACGACGACGTTACTCGGTCAGGGCCAAACCTTCTGGGACGAGCTCACTGCTCTCGTCGATGTTGAGCCTCCTGCGCCCGTGTTTTCAGAGTGTTAGGTCAGGGATTCGGGTTAGGGATTCGCATTAGGGCTTGGGGGTTCGATGTGACTTGCTTCAGTAGACCCGAAGTCGGTTGCAAGTGCCCCGAACTTGTAACCAGACGCTAAGGTTGAAGCCCTAGGTTTAGGGCGTAGGGTTTGGGGTTTAGGGTTTATAGGGGTGAATCAGGGTTTAGGGTTTCGGAATTTATGCTGTGATCCCTAAGCCCTAAAATTCAAGCTTCAATCAGGCCATGAGTACTCGACGTACATAGCTCTGCACGGCTTGAAAAATCAAATTCTATCACACGTCACCAACGTAACTAGCCTTCTAAAGAGGAAGTGACCTTCGACAATCGAGTAGATCGTGTCCACCCGTTTACGGTACCTTGGCCAGCGGAGGCACCATTCTTAAGACCTTTCGTTGGACCCCGCACGCCGAAGCTCGAATCGCAGGCAGAAACAAGTCCGTGACGATCGGGGAAGTCTCCGCGAACGGCTTCGAGCAGGTGGAGTTTCAACAGGATCTGATGAGATTCCGCAGGGTCTGCTAGGGCTTATGTACGGGGCTTATAGCGTTGTGTAAGAGAATTAAGAGAATTGAGAAGTATCAAGGGTGGTGATGCAAGTTCGTAAGTTTAGTGCGGTTGTAAGTAAGTCTCAGGGTCTTAGACTGTATCCTAATTGGTTCTTCCTGGTCGTAGCTTTGCTGATAACCTGAATGGGCACCCCTGATACTAAACCTGAAGCCCGAAACCTAAACTCCTAAATCCGTAAACCTTACACCCACAAAATCCCTTAGACCCTAGACTCTAACCCTCCTATGTAAACCCTATCAACCCTACCGCCAAGCCCTGCGAAGCCCCGAGCGCTTCCCAGAGACTCGAAGACGACTGAGTGGCTTCGAAAAGTGCCACGGCCAGGGTTGCCCTTCTCGCGTGCGTTCCTGCAGCGCATGCCCTTGCCCTAAGGGTCCAAAGGACCCAATAATCAGGTACTTGGGTTTAGGATAGTAGTTATGTAGGTTACTATTTCGGGGAGTATATGATAATGACGTACTTGGACCCTTAGGGTTGGGGACAGGGGCTCATTGCGATCCGGCTTGCTTCGTTCGATGTTTGCCGAGCTCAACAGCAGCTATGCTTATCATCAGTGGCAGTAACCCTCCGGATGGTGATGACCTGCCTAGGCACTTGCGACATGTCATTTTGGACGAGATCTACGATGGACTGCAGGTTCTGCCACAAACTGCTTGCTGACTTGCTCCATAAGAAGCTGGAGCGTCTCTCTCGGAAGGAAGTGGACAGGTGCGATTGAATACTGGACCTCTTGGGGTATCTTGTTTCCTCTGGCTGTGATCATATCATGGCCGAAGTGGACATGCAGAAGGCGCAAATCCGTTCGGAGTTTAGAAGTTTCACTGGCATTCTGGATGTTCTTGAACGAACCTTGGTAAGGTATCCGGTGAATGTCTAGTCGACCGTGCTTTTGGATTGAGCGTTTTCAGAAAACCGGTCAATGGGTGCCCAAACACGTGTCAATACTCCTAAATAGTCAGGAATATCCTCTAAACCACATTAGTTAATTAGGGATCCTACCAATACTGCAGCTCAAAGTATATATTCCCAAATTATTCTACCCCTACCCCGTTGTCAAAATTAGGGTCCCTTTTTTGGGTACCCTAAATATTAGGTGCCGTATTATAATAAGGACCCAACAAAGGACCCTAATTTTCGGAAACCCCCATATGTCATAGGGATCCTTAGGGGTGTAGGGGGGAGGGGTGTAGGGGACTATATTTCCTTAAATAGGCCTTATTAGTCCTTATTATGGGCCTTAAGGCCCCCTACCCCCCCTCCCCCTACACCCCTAGGATCCCTATGACTATGGGAGTCTCCGCGTTCTTCAGGTCTCATCCCGCTTGATGCAGCTTCGGCAAGCCATGACTTTGCTCCAACCAGGCCCGCGGGGCTGGCAAAAAAATCACGGGAAGCTGGGATTTTTAGTTTTAATGGCTTTTGGGTTTAGGGCTTTTGGGGTTCGGGGTTCCGGAAACCTGCTTCAGGGGTCTTGTGTGTAAGCAGGTTCAGAGAAGGAGTCTGCAAGTGTTTCCGGCTAATTAGTGGTTGAATCTATAGAGGGTTTAGGGTTTAGGGTGTACAGAGCAACCGCGTTCTAGGATTCCCGGCGACTGTAAGGACCCTATAAACCCTAAACTTAAACCCTAACAATATGTATCTCTATAGTATACAGCCGCACAACAAATCTCAGCTTCCTTTGTAGGCCTCTGAATTCAGGGCTTGAGGTGTCGACGGAGGATCAGGGGACTTGGTATACAAGGATACAAGTACCTAAACTAAGGTTACAAGAACTTGTAAGTATAGTAACCGTTCGTTTAACCCTAAAGTCACGAAGCCCCAAACCCTAAACCCTATAACCCTAAGCCCTAAACCCTAAAGTCACGAAGCCCCAAACCCTAAGCCCTAAACCCTAAACCCTAAGCCCTAAACCCTAAACCCTAAAGTCACTAAGCCCCACGGTCCTCCAAGCAACTCAGGACACCGGCGCGGGGTCCTTGGGATCGGGGGAGTCCCCAGTCTTCTTAGGGGCCCCAAAAGCACATAAGCATAAGCATTCTATAGGGATATCCCTACCTTATTGGGCTTCATTATAAGGGGTTTATGTGGTATATCCCATTTTCCCTCTACGCAATTTGTGGTCCACCATCAGGAACCTGCATTCCAGAGAATCGGGATTGTCCCACACGGTTTAGGGTTTAGTTTAGCCCCAAGGGTCCAAGCACCTAATTATCATATACTCCCCAAAATAGCAACCTACATCACTACTATCCTAAACCCAAGTACGTGATTATTGGGTCCTTTGGACCCTTAGGGTAGGTTTAGGGTAACCACCAGGACCCCGCATGAGATTGTCCCATGTCCAGGCTTACGACTGGATATCCGGAGACTCTCTGAGAGATACCCACTTACCTGAAGGCTCCATAGTAGTTCCTTTTCGGGGTTCATACTTCGAACCCTATAAGGTAATCCCAAAAAGGAACTACTATGGAGCCTATTGGTATCACCCTAAATGGAGTCTGGAATGGGGGTCTCACGTCGAGACGCGGGACATGGATGCTGGAAGGATGCCCTCCCCGCAGTTTTATAGTGGGCAGAAGCCTGTGCCACAACCTTCTGGTGTAAGTACAGGCGTGATACGACATACGTTGGGCCACGGGTTCTTGTAAGGGTTCGGGGTTGTGTAGCCCCAAGGGTCCAAAGTACTGTTATAGTAGACTGAGGGGTTTCTATACTAGGAATTACTTTTATGATTTGGGGAAGTCTTCCCCATGACAGTACCTAGGACCCTTTGGGTAGGGTTTTTCAGGGTCCAGCACCCAGCAGGCAGGGAGCAGCTATTTACTCTAGGACTCTAGGACCTAGAGTAGGCCCTTATTCCCTTTTTAAGGGTTCAAGTCCTTTATTATAAGCCCTTTAAACCAAAAAGGGCACACTTTTTATTCCTAGGTTACTCTTGGGTCTAGTACTTGGGTTTCAGCAGTACCATTTTGCAGGTTAGGTCCTTGGACCCCGGCAAGACCTGCCGGGTTCTTTGTTGGACTTGGGACATTGACTGGTTTCTGTTAGAGGTCGACTCTTAAACATTACTATAGGACAATGTTCGGGGATAGATGTCTTTCTCTATAAACCCTATATAATCCTAAACCCACAATAAACTCTAGAGCCTAAGCCCTGCAGCGGTAGCCATTGATCGATTGAAGGAGTTCGGAAGGGAGTCTTCACACCTCAGCTGCTTCATGGTTCAGAGCCCTATACCTAGAGTAACCAATGTACCGTTAAAAGGGGAGATGTCCCTGACAAGTTGGTAAATTCCCCTCTTTCAAGGTACCGAGGGAAGTCTAAAAACCCGACGGCCTCAATCTCGAGCCTCCAAGGTACTCACTATTTTGGGAAACTCTCTAAACCCTAAGCCCTTCATAGATCCCTTATGGATCCCTTTTTGGAACCCCCAAGATTTGCGTCTGAAGTGCCACCAGCGAAATCCTCGAACTCTGCACCCCCAAGCGTGCGCTGTGAGCCCTCATCCTAAGAGGCTTTTCAAGAATCCCCAAAACAGAAATACTAGGCCCTAGAGTAGGCCCTTATTCCCTTTTTTTAGGGTTCAGGTCCCCTTATAAGCCCCTTTAAACCAAAAAGGGCACCCTTTTTGTTCCTTGGGTCTAGAGGCTGAGGTTTCAAGAATCCCCAAAACCCCAATATGGGAGTTTCCGAGGATTAGAGGTACCGTATTTTGGGGTCCATATAGATGCCATATAGGGTACTGTACTAGGGTCCCCTCTTTTCGGAAACTCCTATATGGGAGCCAGAAGATGTACACAGTAATAGTACTATTCCCTTGCAGCCCCTACATACTTGTGGTAGTAGGATCTATCCCAACACCCGTGTCTAATTACTAAGACCCCCATCGTATCATTACAATAGGGGCCAATACTATTTGGGGGTTCCTTAATACATTTGTGGCGTAATGGGCCCCAAAAAAACCATGCTAAACACTAAGCCCCCCATCGTATCGTTAGTGAACCCTGACAAGGTGACAACTCTGGTTCTGAGCTCTCGGCCCAGGCCGGCAGAAATGTGGTTCTCCTTTGCACGTGGTTGATTTCGGGAACCTTAAATTGAAACCCTAAATTCCTGAAGGCCCTGAACCCTAAGCCAAGTCCTAAACCATCACTAAGCCATCCTAAATCCCTATATGCCCTAAACCCTGAACTACGCCCTGCAGATTCCCAAAGGCCCTATACCCCTAAAGGCCCTAAGCCCTAAACTAAGGTCTAAACCTCTAAACCGTGAGAACTCCGCATGTCATGCCCGGCCCAAGTCAAAGCCCTACTGTTGATGATATAAATCCTGCATCACCCATAATTAATAAGGAATATACCATAATTCCTACAGTTTGGGGTCATTATGGTAATGCAGGAGTTCTATATCATAACCCTAA